GTGGGACATCAGGTAATCTGAAGCAGGGTAAGTAAAAAGGCATTTCACCAAGAAGATCATAAGGCTTCTCAGGACCAGCAAAAAGTAGGAATCGGTCGGGTGGCAGTAACGAGAAGTTCCCGACACTAGAGGGCGCTTTAGTTCTAATAAAAACTAGATCGAAACTCACCCTTTATCAGGAAAACGCTTTGCCTTGAATTCAGAGATACTCTTAGCTCTTCGGGACTCTTAGGATAATTTGATTTGAGCTATTTCACGATGGATCATGTTCTATTAGTTTTGGGACGCGCACAATGAAAAAGACAAATTGTGAAAAGCTTATTCATAAACGAGATTTTTTTTATTTATTTTTTTTAATCATTTTTAAGGAGGGAGCCAGCGATCACTCACAGGTGCGCATTTTGTTGCGGATCTTTACAAGCTTGCAAGAGCGTGGTGCAGGCAAATTAATTTGTGTAAACATGTGACAGGGTTGCAAAAATCTTTATAAAATATTAGTTTTTATTTCCGGTTTCGCTCATATCCTTGCAATTTAAGCACTTCTCCTTTCAGCACAGCCGCAGAGCATTACGCACATCTCTGTCGACACAGAGACCACAGTGTCTACAGTCCATCAGTGTCTCACTGTCTCAGTCAGAGCTGCCTCCTTTGGTACAAGATGATCTTTCTGCTCGGTCTGCTTTGCTCCATCTGGGGAGAACCTGTAAGAGGTTTCAACTTTACAGAGGATCTCCGTCAGCTCGCTGTGGGTAACAGCTCTGTTTACATCGCTACAGAGGAGAATCTTTACCAGCTGAGCCATGACCTGACTCTGATCTACAGCCTGACCCAGAGAGGGATCTTAAAGAGAGGGGACCAACCGGACAAAGAGGAGTTTTACAGAGACCCCATGAAGAAGGCCTGGAACACAACTTTCAGAGTTAATGTTTTATTACCATTTGTTAAGAATGACACATTGATCAGCTGTGGTGTGACGGACAAACTCTGTGGTTTCTGTGAAGTTCTGGACCTGAAGAACATCAATAAGCTGGTTTACAGTGAATCCATCGAGGTGGGACCTCAGAGGAGCAGCAGTGGGTCTGTCAGCTTTCTGGTGGATGTGAAGGAGAATTCAGGTCAGACTGAGACTTACATTCTGACAGCGATAAAGAACCATAGAGACAAGACAGAGGAGGACAGGTGTGGGACTGATTTAAAGACAATCAACCTTCAAAACACCAATCAAAAACAGCCTGGGGAAATATTTTCCTGGTCTGGTCAGTCAGGTGATAAACCTGGGATCCAAACTGCAGCTGATGTAGATTTTGTGGACGGATTCCAGATCAACTCAACAGTGTATCTGTTCTCCAACGTGGCATCAGGAGGTGAAACCAACAAAGTCCGTCTCATCTGGCTTCAGGCTGAAACCAGTAAAAGTGACACTCTGAAGTCTCTTCGTGGAGCGACTCTCAGTTCCTCTGGAGGTGAAGGCAGCAGACTGCTGGCCTCCTCGGTCGTCCCAGGTGGTCAGCAGGTCCTGTGGAGTGGAGTGTTCAGTGTGGATAAAGGAGGAGAAAACACTGAGCTGCTGCTGTTTGACATCAGTCCTGATCTCAGCAGGGAGATGAATAAAGATCCAGACTTTTATATATCAGTGAACAAGCCAAACAACCCAGTAAGTCGCTGTATTAAACATAAACTACTTTCAGTGTTGATGTTTCATGCCTTGTTTTACTGTGTCCTGGATGAGAATCTTCAGCAGAGTTTTGCATGATTCAAATAAGACAGAGAATGTTCAATAAGTGGAAAGGTTGGGTAATTTATATTTATAATGTAAAGGTTGGTATGGCTTCATGGATCAGTGCATTTCTTTTTCACTTTTGAATAATTTTAAATAAACTGTTATTGTGTTCAGTTTTTACCTTAATTTAAACCATTTTCAAAAATTTTTAACTTTACCATCTTTATGAACTTTGGCAGTGTCTACATGTTTGTGTTTGTTTAGTTTTCTGAGTGTCATTTTAGATATAAAATATAGTCATTCAAAGCCAGCTTATTAGAATCTGTCCCAAACCCTCTGTATAAATCTTCCCTAAGTTTACAATTCAAAGAACAAGACAAAATGTTGAAACGATTCTCTCTGTTCCTCAGTCAGTTCGGCTCCTGAAACCAAAGGTTGTGCTTTTGAAGCAGAACTTCATGAGTTCTGTTCTGGCCGTCAGGCTGAACAACTGGATGGTTTTCTTCATTGGAACAGCAGATGGACAGCTCATCAAGGTGGGTGGGAAACTAACAACTGGAGGAAAAAAACTGTTTTAGCAAAACAAGTAGCAAACAGAATTTTATGAATCATTTATGAACACCATAACTATGTCACTGTGAAGATGACAGGGTTTAACCTGGACAAACCCCACAGAGGACCAGGGATGTTATTTAAATAGAAACACAATCCAACAAGCTCTTTGTTCTTTAAGAGCGTCTTTCAAATTTGAAAATTATTATGCTAATTGTTATACAGCCTCAGAAAGAGATGATTCAAAATAAAAATAGAATATGCAAATGTCAGATTTCTTTTGGCTTTTTGCATAGGAATTCCATTCAACCCTGTTTCTTTAATACATCCTGTATCTCTAACCTACACTGTTGTTGTTGTCATCAGCTTTCTGTGGACAGGAAGTACCAGCCCTCCTGTCCACAGATCCTCCTCAGAACCAGTGGAGACAACAAAGTGTTTCCAAATCTCCAACTGGATCCAGTGGATCACAAACATCTCTATGTGCCGTTTAAAAACCAGGTAGATTGGAGCTTCTTCATGTGGCGTTCACTTACCCTGCCTGTTGATGTGTTTCTGAAACATGGTGTTCTGCTCCAGGTTCAACGTGTTCCAGTGTCAAACTGCAGAACTTACCAAAATGTGAAGGGTTGTCTTTCTGCCCAGGATCCATTCTGTGTCTGGTGTGTCTCTGAGAAAAGGTCAGAGAAACTTCATCTCAGCTCCATCCTTCATCTCAACTCTATGATGACACATTTACATTTTTCAGCTGCTCATTCAAAGACGACTGCAGAGGTTCAGAGAGGCTGTCCATCCCTGATGAATCCAAGCAGGAAATAGTTTCTCACAGATTTCTGAAGGACTCCACAGGAGAGGTGAGTTATTAATATATTTATGACAGTTTTTCATCTGGAACTATTATTATAATAATTTTATATTTGTTCTTTTCTCAGATGAAAATAATCATCCAATCACACCTGACTATAGAGAAGAAGGTTCAGTCTAACTTCACCTGTGATTTCTCTACAACCTCCACCCAGCTTTGTAAAAAACAAGGACCAAAACCACAGTACCCACAATGCACCTGCATTCTCAATGACCCCATACCTGCTGATGGTCAGTGATGGTCAGGAAGTCTTTAAACATTTTGTTCCAGCTGTTAAAGTTACATACTTTATCTTTGATTTTCAGGTCTTGACGTTACCATGACGATCAGACTTGGAGACACATCTCTGTCAGAAAAAATAAAGATGATCAACTGTTCCAGTATCCAGGGGCAACCAAGTTTTCACCTGTAAGTTCATTTATGTTTTAGAATACAGATTTAATAACAACTAATATCATCATAAAGTCTAACAGTATAAATTAACTCCAGTGTTTTCATAACAACATGGAGGTCTACTCTGCATAAAATCTGAATAATACAAATATTGTTGCTGATATTTAAATCTGACTGATTACATGCTGGTAAAATCATCTGTTTCCTTTTGTAGCTGAAAGGAAAAGATTAATGTTGAATCCTGAGAAGCTTCATTCTGCTCAATGTTTCATTAACATGAATGATGCATTATTAGTGCAGCTTGTTGTTTCTAAATGAATCTGTATCAAGTGTTGTAATGTTTGAGTAAAGCTGAGATCAAACTGGCCTGCTTTCTGTCCAGGTGTCAGCAGTGCATCAGAGCAGGATGTGGATGGAGACAGAACAGCTGCTCCTGGACCTCTGATGCAGTCAGCAACGTAATCATGAAATATTTCATGATTTTATGAAATTTAGAGAAGTTTCTTCTCAGGGAGTGCTTGTTAGACATAATTACTCTTCTTTAACATGAATATCTATTGTATTTTTTAACAGTCTGTGTTAAACTGGACTAATGTTGTCTGGAACAACATCATGAAATAAAGTGATAAATTTCACTTCTTTCCTTCTGCAGGACATTTGTACAAACATTGAGCAGTTTGGGAGGAACTTTTCTGTGAGTCAGATTTTTAGTTGATCTGAATTCAGTTGGTTATATTGAAAATAAAACCAACAAGTTATATTTTCAGTATAACTCTTTGGTAATGTGAAACATTTGAATTTTCTGCTCCTTCAGGAACCAGAGATCTTCTCCGTCTCTCCCAGTGTTGTGTCTTTCTATGGCAGAAATCAG